AGTATATTTTAAATCTCTCAATTTTAAATTTCTTTAAAAGAAATGACCAAATTCATATTTTCACTAAAGAAAAGTTAATTTATTTAGTTTATTTTACAACCAAATACATCTAGTTATAAAATTCACAAATGAGCCAATCCTAAAATTACATGATTCATATTTTTTAAACAATCAAATGGGTCATTAATTAAATTAAGTACTACATCTACAAAATATAAGTCATATCCAAAAGTATTCTCTCCAATGTTGATGCAATATAGATATAGTTGTTTTTAAAAAGTATCCATAAATACTTAGGTGCTTATTGTAATTAGACAATGGACATTATTGCTTTAGGAAACAAGAAAACTCTATCACTGGTGCCCCCTTGAGAAAATTGACAATATATATATAAACATGTTGATTGCACAAATTGTGAATTCAGTCATAAATTGCAGAGCAAGGGATTCCAACCTCACCTTTAAAATTTGGCACTGTATCTATTGTGTCCAAGATATCAAGACTGTTTATGTCATATATGTATGTCTTTTCTTGCAAAATAACAACCAATCTGCACATAAAAATGCACTATTTCAACAAGAATTGAAAAAAGAAATGAAGTTATTGAATGAGAGAACAGTAACCAGATTCCTACAGTTAGGAAACCTGTTTAGATGTCAAGATCGGAGATATTGTTACCAATTTTAAGATTTACCAATTATTCTACCATTTTCCCCCCCTTTAATCACTTGTTAGTTTCAATAAGATAGTGACAATAAACCAAACCATTGAATCTTTTTACTGCTTTAGTATGATCAAATAGAAAAATACGAGAGAGATAAAGAGAATTTTCTCTTAAAAAAGAAAAACTTGAATTTGTGAGGCCAGCCATCAAACATATTGAAATTATACACTTAAACTTCGACTTGTATTAAACACCCAAAGGAAATTTTTTTTATTTCCCCAGCTAAGCACACTTCAAAACATCCTAATTTCATGTGATTATTCATCATTACAAACATTTCTTTCCTATCACCTCTGATCCCCCACAGGAAATTATAGTTCTTTACAAGGCTCAGAATCGCAAGGACAATTATCTCACTACATGCCCATGTTCCACACACCTGTAAGGTTACAACTGTAGTCAGCTTGGGTAATTCATGAAATTGCTACATGCTTATGAGCATTGATGAAACTCAATCCAGGGCTAGGTACAGCCTCCCACAAAATTTACCACTTGAGCAAAGGAATCCAGTATCTTGGCAACTCAAAATAAACTAATCTTGAATATCTGGTTCAGATAATATAATTATAATTAAACCTCCAAGAAACAAAAATGGACCGTAAATAACATTGAGGGCCATATAAATTTGAAGTGCATTATAATCTCAAACTAGTTTAAATGCAAGGAAAGGAACCCAAAACTGAGGAGAAAACCCATGATGGATTGGTGCTGCATGTGTACAACAGCAGGGGAAATAGTGATTCATCTTCTTTTGCATTATCTAGCAGCTACAGAGGTATGTGGATTGACCTTTGCATGATATGGCATTTAGTGGGTGATGCCTTGTTTTGTGAGAGATTTATTTGGATGTTGGAGTAGGCCCAACAGAGAGGGGGCTAGGAGCTTGTTCCATTGGTACCTAAGGAGAAAAGGCACTAGGAGAACTTTTACGGGGTGAAACATTCCTGGCCAAAAAGGAATGTTCGTTGTTTCCACTAATTCCAGCCTGTGGATAGTGGTTGGCAGACATTGTTGGGGGAGGCTGGAAAGTAAATCCCAGCATTAGAAAGTGGTGCTGTCAACAAGCTAGTGCTGGAGCCTTCAAAGATGAAACTCTTTTTTGTTAAGTCACTTCATATTAAATGGTTCCACATGATTTGAAAATTGACTTACCAATCACTGATCTGTAAGTCATTTCATGAAAAAGTTTTCAGGAAATAGCTTACCTTACCAATAAAAAGGTTTACTTAAACTTGTGCACAGCCAAATACCAAAATTTAGGAAAATATTTTCAGGAAAAATATTCCACTGCAAAATGAACTGGGCCTTACTGTGACCAAATCTCTAAGAAGCTTTTAATAATTAGAATATTGTACTACAGAAAATCTTAAAGGTTATATTACAATTCGCCATTTTTGTCCCAAGTATCATCCAAAAGGCGGGTTTCTACCTTCCCAAATGAACTAATTCTTAAAATTCCTTCGAAAGTTTCCACATAGGTTTCTCATTCAAATTTCAATATTATATTCAAACTATTGAAGAAGACCATCTTAACATAACCCAAAATAAAGGGGAAAAGAAAAAGATAAAAGGACCACACCTAAAAGATGGATGCATGCAAGGAAAGAAAGGACAACTTGGTCACTCAATGGTTTGATCATTCAAGAAACAAAACAGGTTCCTCAGATATTCATCAAATTTACATGTCTAAAAATTATCATCAATGCCTTAACAATACTGCTAATACTTCACTTCAAGTCGTGTTCAATGTTAAAAGCACAATTATCAAATTAAATGTTTCCAACTATCCATAAAAGAGCAAGTCCAATGTAGATGTTTTACCTTTTCCTATTAACACGAACAGCAAGGATTGAAGTTAAGAAATTTAGGTCTCAAAGAGCATTTCCAGTTGTAACATTGAATAAACATAGACGTCGTGGGGATAGAGATGCCTGTTGGATTCAAGAAAAAATGGTAATTAATTAATGAAATTTCAAAATTCGATAAAAAATTGTATGTTTACTAGAAGTGCTAAACCATCTGAAAGTGCACAAATCAATGGACAGCATAAGAACCTGTTCACCAGCTCCAACAATGGCAAGAAGACTTGAGGCATAAAGCATTTCCACAATGACAAATGCTCCAATAGCTGACAAAAGAAAATAGATTTGATTAGGATGATCTTAAAAAAACATGAAATCATGTTAGCTTTACTGTATCTCAATTGCACTACATGCATTCAATTTGAAAAATACTATGCATGGCAATCAACATGAGAGAGAAGACGAGTAGGGAGGGGGTGCGGGGAGTGTTGTAGTGGAGAGACTAGGCTAGCTAACTTAGATAATCAAATGAGTACCAAACACAAATCAACTGACACATATTAGTGAGTGAGAGAATGACATTAGTGAAAAATCAATTGTAATTATGAAGTTGAATATCAACCCAAATAAACTCATCAAACGTGTCTCAACTCTCAACCAATTTTGATTGGATATGGGAATTCTGTTCAAACTTTTAGGCCTTTAATATTAATATAGGAAAGAATCAAAATAAGCAAGAATGGAAAATTTTAATGCAGTACATCAGTTCGCGGGTTTTCTTCTTCTGTTTGTAAAATTTATTTTGAAACTTTTAACTCGAAAAACAAATCTAAACTATCGATGTCCACCCCAAAAAAAAAAAAAAAAAAAAAAAATGTTTCAGAAAACATTTGTGATCAAGACAATGTTTTTTCAAACTATTATCGTCAAGTAATTTTAATTTTACAAAATAATTTTAAAAAACCAAAAATGTCTTCAGATATTTAAAATTGTTCAAACCTATTTTGAATTGAAGAAATAGTTTTACTGATGATATATATGAAATAATCAATTTTAAAATATTTTTAAGCAGATCGTGTAGTCTTATCATAAGCATTCTGGTCAATATATTTCTTTCTACGAATTATACATTTTTCATGAAATACAACTTCTATTTCTTTTTATCTCCAATCTCTTCAAGTGAAATCATAGCAGTTGTTAATCCCATTTCTCTAATTAAAAAATAAAATAAAATAAAATAAACTTTCATTGATCTATATCAACAGTAATATGAATGACTTTCGATTTGCTGAGTGGCGAGCTTTGTTTCTTCAATTTCATTGCAGTTGTGACTTTTTTTGGTATGATCTAAGTTACTAAGTAACATAGACACAAACACACAACGCAACATGTGACTATACGAACATGTCAACTATCTGAACATGTCGACGTGTCGATTTTCCAAATATCCAGGACACGACACACTTGGTCCACATTAAAATTTTATATTTTTACAAATTAATAATGTCATATATTTGAATAATTTATTCAAAGATAATGAAAAATATGTAACATAACATTGATTACATTAAAATCTATATATTTATTACTTAAACATCAAGATATCATTCACATAGAAATCATATTTTAAATAATGCAAAATAATAATAGAACATTGTAATACACATGATGTATTCATCTTATAAATGTTTCAAAACATATTTAGAATTCACAAGTCATGTTATGAATAATGCAGAGTATTGTTATCATGAAGGAATTCATCATATAGGGTGTGTTCAGAGACGGTTCAAGAAGTGTTGCCTAAGTGTCTACAAAGTGTCGGTGAAACGTCCAATATAATGAATTTGATTTTTTAATTAATTCACATTAAAGAAGTGTCTAATATGCTTTAGGACTGTCCAAAGAGTCCACAAAAGAGTCCGTGCTACTTAAGGTAAGATGTATAGATTAGAAAATATGGGGCATACTCCAATTGGAACCTTAGGCAATGGCATTATGCATGAGATAGTCCAACAAGCAACCCTTAGGGCTTGTTTGATTGGGCAGATTATAACACATGATTGGGATTATTAACCCATGGGACTCACATTCTATTGATTAGTTGCAAATTTGATTATTCAGATTAGATTCCAATGGCCATTCTATCTAACAAAATTGACCCGTTATTTATCCTACGACTAATAATGCAAAACATACATATAATTGGAATTATATATTTCCATCTCTATTACCAAAAAAAAAAAAAAAAAAAAGACACCAACAACATGGACAAGAGGGAATTATATATCTCACTAATCCTCTGGATAACCAATTATTGTTAGTCCTCTCACTATTAATCCCGCTAATCAAACAGGCCCTCAATTGACACTCAAGCGCCAAACGGAATTATTATCACTCAAACAAGTTTAAAACAATTTTTACTGACTCAATTCATGGGCAAAGCAACTAAATTAAACGACAAAAGCAGCAACAGCGTCAAAACTATCACTATATCAATTAACTAATAAATAGTTGAAATCCAAAATTTTAAAAACTTGTATGATGTACTTGCCTCGTTCATAACAAAGCCTCCCAGTATTGGCATCAAATATTTTGAATCCATCCCTCGTCGCAATTGCAAAGCAACTGAGAAAATTCAGAATAAAATCAATTCCTAAATCAAACTAAATTTCAAATTCACACAACTAAAAATCAAACCCTAATTCGGAAAATCAACATAATAAATTACCTGTTATCCTGATTGAAGGAGGCACAGAGGATTGGATAGGAAGAGGAGGATGACTGATTCGCCATTTTGGAGATTTTGCCGCTAATTTTTTCTCATCGGTTTGTTTTTATATGTTTTTTGAATCATCATCAGGAATTCTGCGAAAGAGAGAATATAAAAGAGAAGAGACTATGCTTATGCATTCCTGATACGACCTGGTTTCCTTTCCTTACACTTCACGGGGTAGTCTTCTTGTTTTCTTAGTCCTTACATTTTTATATGTATTTGAATATGTCACCTCAAATCTTAAAGGTAAATTTAGGCAAAACTCCTTTATTGAACCTTTTGTTAGGTGAACCTTGGTTATCATTTTTTAAAAATATTTTTAAAAAAAAATTTATTTTTTTATTTTTACTGCATTTTTTTAATATTTTGAGTAATTTTTTAAATTTTTAGACATACTTAACATAAATATATTTAAAAAGTAAAAAAAAAATTTAAAAAACCTTTTAAAAATTCACTAAATACCAAAAATATAAAAAATATATATGAGAATTCAATATTTTTTTTGTATTTTTATGTATTTATTAATTTTTTAAAATATTTTTTCACAAATTTTTATTTTTTAGATATATCTAAGTAAGGTGCATCTAAAAAAGTAAAAAAAATGTTTAAAATTTTAAGAATATTCACTGAAAACAAAAAAATACGAAAATCAAAAAACTCAATTTTCAAAAAACTTAATTCAAAAAACTCAAACAAAATACACGTATTTCATAAATTCTTTAAGGAGGGAGTGTATAATTGAGAAATGATAAATTAAATTTTTTTTGAATAATATTACCATATATATATTTTTTAAAGAGTTTTTTTTTTTTTACAATGAACACTTTTATTTCATTTTATATATGTTTAAAAGCAATGTGTATGTGTATTTTTGATTGGTTCATCTAATATGTACTTTACTTTTTGAAATAGTAAAATGTTACTGTGAATTAGAATAACATATTACCATAAATCAGAATAACATGTTAGTGTCAAACAGAGTTTACTGTCTAGCTCAATTTCAACTGTATTTTTTTTATTTTTTAAGAATTTCATAGTCAATATAGATCTTGTTTAATAGATCTTGATAAGAAAATTCTAAAAATACTAATTTTATTAAAAACCAACATCTAAATCGAAAATTATATTATTTTAAAGTTTAAAATATTAAATTACTCACTAAGTATGTTTTTGTAATAGTAGTATATGTTAGATTTTTCAAGGAAAATTTTTTATATTTGTTTTTTAATGCATTAAAAATTATTATGAGTAGGCTTTGACCAAATCCCGCAATTTTAAAAATATTTTAGTTTAATGTATGAACCATAAACTTTTAATTTTTTAATTTAAATTCCCTCCATTTCATTAAAAAATCAATGTAACTGTGTGAGTGAATTTCCGATCACACTATCAACTAAGTACTTAGCTGGAGAGCACCGGCAGAATAAATTAAACCCGAACGACCTGCAACAGAAAGAAGAGTTTCCGGCGGTGGCTCGTCCACCCGGGGGCACTCCGACGATCAAGTCAGTACTCAATATCTCTCAGAGATAACCAACAGTGCTTAACTCACTAAACAGAATATCAAAAGCATACCTTAGACCCATGGGGGTGCCTCCCTTTTATAGCAACCTCAATCCTAGTCCCAATAGAAGCCTAGCTCTAATGGACTTAGGATTATTGCTAATCTTGGACTCCTAGTAAGACTAGGATAAACCCTCTGAGAGTCTTATCTTTACCCAAACTAAAGTCTTCTCCCATTCTAGGACTCTTGTTCCTTATCCGCTTGTCTCAGATTTCGGTATTGCCGCAGAATACCTCGGCAGTGCCCCAAATATCTCAGCAAACATGATCTGCCCACGTAGCACCTCGGCTAACAACCTCGACCATGTGGACTACCCAAAAAATATGTCCCCACAACTGCCCCCTAGGTTCTATTACCTCGGCAAACTGAGGTGATGGAACTTATATTATCTTTTTCATCTAGCACATCGGCTAAGCTTGCTTCATCATTTATTGCCGAAGTCAGAACTCGTCGGCTCAATATGACCCAGACCTATAGTCTGCTTCCATCAAGGCTTTGGAACCAACGACCAAATTCGTTCAAGTTTCTCAGCCGAAACTGTTCTTCTAGCCAAGGTATTTGTTTCATTAAATCAAGAACTTCAAGAGTTTTCTTCATGCGTATGAGCTGGCACGTAAAATTTTTCAACCGTTTCTGCACGCATCTTTCCTCTACTGAGCCGTGTCTGATACATGTCATTAAGTCGCCTTGCATCTGCGTATTTGATCAAATCTCTTCACTTTCTCCGGTTTTTTACTTTTGCATCTTCGTTTTTGTTTAAACTTTCTCTTTCAAATCCTTTATTGCTGCTTTTGCGAAGCTGTCTGCAACTAGTTTCACTCCCCCCTCTAGCGAGGCTTCTGCTGCACTTCCTTGCTTACGGCCACTGTCTGATCCCGGCGAACTTTACTTCGGCTTCATTGCTTGTACTTTCTCAAATAATTTATTCTTCAATGTCAGGCCAAAGTGTCTTCTTTATCTGAATGCATTTTTTAACTTCTTCTTTCAAGTGTTTTGAATGTTTGCCCTCTTCTTAATGCCTTGTATGATTCTATACTTAGGATACAATTTGCATGTCTTCAACATACACCTTAACTGTGCAATCTCCCCAGGTTAACATACCTCGGACAAAACTTTCGACCTTGCTTATCTCGGTCTCGGTTTAACACTTGAAAACATTGTAACGAATATTTTCACAAGTGTTACTTTTACTTCTTAAGACTTCTGTCTTCCATTATCTTCCAAGTCTTGGTCACATAGTCACATAGTCACCTCGGCACGTGTATAGATACTTCTTTCACTCATAACCTTGGATTTAACTTCAACTTGTAAATTTTCTCAAAATTTCAACAAGTGTTAAATCAATATTCTTTCTCTGTTTAACTTCAACTTGTAAATTCTCTCAGAATTTTAACAAGTGTTAAACATGATCTCGGCTTAACTTCAACTTGTAAATTCTCTCAGAATTTCAACAAGTGTTTAAATATCATCTCGGTTTAACTTCAACTTGTAAACTTTTCACAAGTTTCAACAAGTGTTAAACATAATCTCAATTTAACTTCAACTTGTAAACTTTTCTCAAGTTTCAACAAGTGTTAAACATTATCTCGGTTTAACTTCAACTTGTAAACTTTTCTCAAGTTTCAACAAGTGTTAAACATCATCTCGGTTTAACTTTAATTCGTAAAATTTTCACAAGTTTCAACAAGTGTTAAACATCATCTCGGTTTAACTTCAACTTGTAAACTTTTCTCAAGTTTCAACAAGTGTTAAACATCATCTTAGTTTGAAAATTCCAACTCCCAAGCATCATTCTCCATCCCTCTGTATGGCTTCTACCTACTCCTTTGTGGAAAAAAGTCTTTAACTCAGGCTGTGCTTTTCTTTTCTCGGATTTAATCATCTAGGCCGAGATCTTGCCTTTTGGAATCTGGGATCTGCTTACTTTAGACTGAGCTCTTCTTTTCTTGGACCTAATTATTTAGGCCGAGATCATGTCTTCTGGGATTCTCTATGGCCGACCTCCCGCGAAGGCCGGTGAGAATGTCCCTTGGTCTCGCCATGCTGAAGGATTGCAGGAACCGTTTTCTACCCCCTTTTTCTGGGCGTCTTTCTTGGCCACTAGAATCGGCACATCTTGTAGCGAGAACAGTGGTTGCCCGACGTTGTTCTGCATCAGGAAATTGACGACCGTTTGCAGGTTCGCCAATTTTTCCGCCATTCCCTTTATCTCGTCGTTCCTCCGCAGGCATCTATCCTTCGATACTTGGAGGTCGTCCTTGTTGTAATACCCGATCTGGTTCGTTTTCTTTGGTTCGTCGCTCTCCTGGCCAACGTCCTTTCCTTCGTGATTCTTATCACAAGTCTTTTCGTTGTAGTTGACTTCTTTAACGTCTGAGTCAATATGTTTCCCATTCTTAGTAGGGGTGTCGTCCCCAACCTTCTCTTTTTGTCCGTCGTTGGCCATCTATTCTCCTTTCTTTCCCACAGACGGCGCCAAATTGTGTGAGTGAATTTCCGATCACACTGCCAACTAAGTACTTAGCTAGAGAGCACCGGCATAATAGATTAAGCCCGAACGACCTGCAACAGAAAGAAGAGTTTCCGGCGGTGGCTCGTCCACCCGGGGGCACTCCGACAATCAAGTCGGTACTCAATATCTCTCAAAGATAACCAATAGTGCTTAACTTACTAGACAGAATATCAAAAGCATACCTTAGACCCATGGGGGTGCCTCCCTTTTATAGCAACCTCAATCCTAGTCCCAATAGAAGCCTAGCTCTAATGGACTTAGAATTATTGCTATCCCAATAGAAGCCTAGCTCTAATGGACTTAGAATTATTGCTAATCTTGGACTCCCAATAGGATTAGGATAAACCCTCTAAGAGTCTTATCTTTACCCAAACTGAAGTTTTCTCCCATTCTAAGACTCTTGTCCTTTATCCGCTTATCTCGGATTCTGATATTGCCGCAGAACACCTCGGCAGTGCCCCAAATATCTCGGCAAACATGATCTGCCCACGTACCACCTCGGCTAACAACCTCGACCACGTGAACTACCCAAAAAATATGTCCCCACAGTAACCATTTGTTATTGGATGTAGAAAACACTATTATGTTAGATATTTCCTAATTGACTCTATTTTAGGTTTAAAGTGAAAAAATATTAATCTACTACTATTTTAAAAGTCTAAAAAAATCCAAGTGTTTTTTGCTTTTTATGTGTCTCGAAAATACTCTCTCTCGAAGGTTTTCAATTTAAATCCAACCATTGCATCATGTACAAAAGTTCTTTTTCTTTTCTTAACACTAACACTAACATTTATTTATTTATTTAACACTAAAAAAGGATCAATTTTCTATTCCTCTATTTCCAAAAGTCCTATAACAAATTTGTGTCCCTATTTTTGAATTGATGATTGAACTATAAAATTTTTCTTATTTCCTCTATCCACTTCCATACTATTGTACATATTATTTATTTACAACGGTCTATAATGGATTAGACCACTATGAATATTGTGTGAATATGTTGAATTGAATCTTAGAGTTGTATTCATTTTTTCGAATCTACACAAAAATACTGCGAATATTTTGGGTTAAATCGTAGAGTTGTATACAGCTATTTGAATCTACATAGAGGGAGACGCATCTGATTTCGTACTGCATCTCAGGAATTC